CTTAAAGTAGGAGGCATTTTCCTCCACTTAAAGTCTTTTCAGCCTTATATTAGACTGCAAGAATGGAAAATGGGTGGATGGCAGAAGTCAAGACCCTCAGACCTACCCACACATCCCCAGTCACATGGTTCTGATAAGAGAGAAGCAGCTGCCTGTCCTGTCACACCAATGTAAGTGCTCCTTCCTTGGGCATCTGCCTGTGAGCAAAGCAACTCCCTAAAACTCACCCTGAGATAACAGTTTGAGTCTTAGGGTCTTGTACTTTCATTCAAGTCTTTTGCTGTTGCTTCCTTCTTGTGACTTATGAACAGCTCCAAACAGGTACTGCCTGACCTTACTGGAGGTGAGAGTTGAGACAGGAGATATCCAAGTGGCTTCTGCTTTCCTCCTCTGTAATTCCTGTGTGCTGTCTATCTTTCTGCTATATCTTTTCTCTACCCCTCTATTTTTCCCCCCTCCTGAAGCCTTTCCCCCATTTCTATCCTCCTGCTGGGCTCTTTGGCTGGATAGGAGAATGGGCACAATCTGCCTCTGTGTCTGAGGGTTGGAAGGGCACCCCAGCAGTGTCTGACACAGCTCAGAGGAGAAGCAGTTTAATGGATCCCTTATCCAGGAGGGCTCCTGACTTTGTCGTGCAGAACTCTCACTGTGACCATGACTTGTAACGTTTGCAATCTTCCATTTGCCAGGAGACATCATAGCACCCTCCCTGACCTGTGGAGCTCTTTGCCAACAAGTGGACTGAGCTGGTCCCTTGGGAGAGCACTGCTGGCCACCCAGCTCTGCCTGGGCAAACCAGATGAATGGCCCTGGCAGTAGTCCATGAAGAGCTGTGTTGCAGACAGGGGGACATTTCACACCCCACACTTTCAGCCAAAACCTCTCCCACAGCAGTCTGGCTTCCCCAGAGGACATCTACAATAGTTTGTACTTTCAAAAGAAAATAACAGACACCCCAAGCTGTGAACACAAGTTTCCTTCTAAAATGAAATTTGGAAGAATGTTCATTATGCTTTTTAATTGTCACTGATGTGATGGGTATGAGAAGGAAGGAGGGAGAAGAATGAAAACAGAGTAGGTCAGGCAGTGTAGCTTTGAGTTATTGTCAGCTATACTGACCATATACTGACCAGGTCAGAATGAGCCTTTTTCTCCAATTCTTAAATAAGCCATGTTATGCAGTGGCTCAGAACCACCACTGATAATTAATCATGCAAAGCAAACTGACATAAAGATGAGGTACTAAAATGACAGCTGTTCTGGCATTGGTGCTTCATGACTGTCAATGCTGAAGATAAATCTGTATGGAAACAGCAGCCCCAGTACTGCAAACAGCACTGTTGGGATTCCCACTGTCTGCCTCCCTGTGCCTAACAGAAGTGCCCTACACCTTGGTGAAATTAAAAGCTTTCTGGGCTAGATGTTCACTAGGTCAGTGAAATAAGATGGATTTTGCAGACAGCTTTCTCTGCAAAGAAGAAAACATTAGTAGAGCACATGAAATGGGGAAAGAGCTGGAGGCAGCACATAGGCTGGTCATCGTGTAGCTCACAGCATCCAGCAGCTTGAGCTGCAGCAGCAGCAGACACTGTGGTTGGAAAGAACAGAAGGACCAATCCCAAAAGCATCATTCCCAAATCATTCCCTGAAGTCTGCAAGGCCACACGATGAATGATGATGGGGCCATCTCTCCTGCCTGGCCCCCTGTCTCAGCTGTTTGACAGCCTGGTACAGGCAGTGCTGCTCACCCGGGGGGAGGTGGCACATAAACAGCAGCTCAGTGAAACAGCTCTCATCAATGCTGGGCTTCATCACAACACCCTGCTAATTAACAGTCCAGTGCTTTTTTTTTATTTTCTAGCCTATACATTGTTTGTACTCCCACTTGCTCCATCTCTCATCACCACAGGGGTTAAACTGTCCCAGCAGGCCACAAGCCTCCCTCTCCACACTGCACTGATTCAGAGCTTCCCCTGCAGACACATCCCCACACATTACAAAAGAAATGCCTTTTCTCGAGCTCTATTATCCGATTTTGAGAAAGAGCAAAGAAACAGTTGAAAAAGCAGTGATGTATATGATCAAAGAACTGGGACAACCCACTTGCAAAAAGCTGCTTCTTAATTATTCCTAGAGTGAGTTAGAGGTAAAGAAACAGCAGTACACAAAAACCAGCCCTTCTCTTTTGATCACTACTGTTTTAAAGCCTGTGTGCTACTCTGGAGGTGTTTCTTTCACAACCCCAATGGTTTAATACTTCAGGTACCACCAGGTCATTTCATTTATGGAGATCAAAAATCTCACCTTTAGGCTGCAAGAGTTTAGGACAAAACAGAACCTCAAGAGAGCCTGGTCACTGAGTTCTGGGCCTGGAGGCTACCCTCCCTCCCCTGCAGGTCCTTGCAGTCCCAAAGTAACCCGACAACTGCTGCTGTGCTGTCTAGGCACAAGGGGAGGAGGAGAGGGTGCAGCAGGAAGGATGAAGATTACTTTCCAGCAACAGCAGCCAGTCTTACATATTCACTCCCAGCAGCAGCTGGATGTCACACTACACGGGGTACAAAGGGGAAGACAGTCACTATTCTTGTCACTTAACATCTTAAACTAAGTAGCATTAAAACCAGGTCATTCCTCTTCCCCAGGCTTTGATCAGATTGACTCCACTGATGACTCCAACACTGATTTCTAGTCCAGTCACCAGACTGATGTTTGGGCTCATGTTCTTTCTGACTCTTGGCTGTGCAGCTGGAGATGGGAGCATATATCCTGCAAGCTTAGAAGCAGAGCAAATTTAGTTAGCTGCACTTGTGTTAAGTACTTCAGCTCCCAAAAGGAGTTAAGCTAAGTTGTCTCTGTTTTGCTCTGCCCTTCACTTTTGGCTCAGATTTCTGGGTTCCCCCAGAGCAAAATCCCAGTTCCAAACAGAAATGCTGCTGTGGTGTGGGCCATGACTGTATCTGCCCTGATGTTTCTGATTCTGTGGGGAGCATTTCCTCAGTGCATGTAGGTGCTTCAAAAATAGTTTTGACTATCCAGGCTGAGAGGAGAATGGTTTGACTTCCAGCCAAAATGAGGGTCTTGTGATCCAAAAGGATTGTGCTTGGGGGCCTGCCAAATCAGCAAATGATCTGCTATAAAGCATTGAGACAGAGTTGGCTGCACAGGCAGGCAGCACAGTCATTCATTGAAAGCTGGAGACACACTCCATTGCAGCAGGGAGACCAGTCAGTGCAAGGATGAATGGTTAGGAATCAATGCCACCAGCATTCTTGAGGAAATCAGGCTTTATGTGGAACAGCAGGTTCCAGTTCCTAGAAACTGTGGGGGTGTAACTGATGGTTTTGTACCATTTTGCTGGTATTTTGCCCAATAGCTGTGTCCTCCCTCTGGTTGTGCAGCAGGACAGAGGTCAGATTTAGCTCTGCTTTCATTCACATCTGGGATTCCTGGCTGAAAGGTTGCCTTCTTGGGGCATTGCTTGGCCAAAATCACCTTTCTTCAAAAGTGCTGCCTTATCCTGAGGTGTTGCAGGAAGGGAGCAGGAATGCCACCACCAGCACCAGGGATGCTGCATGGGCACTCACCTGCTTCCTGAGCAGGCCCAAACAGCATGGTGCAGAGAAGGCAGAAGGTGGCAGCTCAGGACAGCAAGAACAAAGTGATTATAAACAAAATTTGCAAGTGACATAGACAGCCCTGACAGGGGCCTGGCTTTGCTTTCCAGCACCAGGAAGTTCTTCCATAGGACATTATCCATAATATACTACAAGGATCAAGTCTAAACTACACATTCTAAATTAATACTCCACACTTATGCACTTTGAGTTAGATATTTAAAAGAGGAATTTGCAGTTATTATAAATATAGCATGCTTGGAAAAATGAAACTCAGAAAGGCTGTGATCAAAGATAAGCTTGACACATTAAAACAAGTCTCAGTCTTACCCCTTGATCCTGTATATAAGCAGATAGTAAAATGCAGTTATTTAACCATGGCAGGGTATGAAAATAAGATTGTCACATCTCGGTTAGTCACCTCTCCTTTTGCTACAGAAGCTGCCTGAATTCGTTGCCAGAGATACACACACATAAACAGAGCAGACTTCTGTCTTCCTCTGAGCAACAAGGCAGCTCAGCTGGCTGCTACTGCAGCATCCAGCAAGTCCTGATGGCAAGGGCATTAGTGAGGCCTGTTTGTGGCAAGGCGTGCAGAGAAGCAGAGGAAAGCTGCAGAAGGGAGCTGGCAGCTGAACTAAGCAGACCCTGCAATGCTGTTCTTTGGTGCTCTCAAAAGGTGCTGCCCCTTTCTCAGTGCAGTCTCTGTGCATTTCTCAGATGACCCTTGGCTGACTTATTCTTGGAGCAGCAATGCCTTCTCAGACATCCTCATGCAGATTTAAAGCACTTCCCCCCATCTGAAGAAAAATCATCAGCGTAAGCATCTGCCAGCTGAGATGGTGTCTCCCTTTGGATGCATTTCAGACTGAGCTGCACAGCTGTGCAGCACAGCACACACTGGCAAACACTGCTGCTGAGAGAGCCACAGCCAAGTATGTGAACATCAGCAGGCTCTTGGCATATGTGAGGGCCACACATCAGCCCACAGTGTCTTACAATGGAAGTGGCCAACGTGCCAGACAATGTTTTACATTGTAAGTGGTCTGTGGGCTAGCATGCAAAAAGTAACCCTGACTTCTTACCCAGGAGGGAAGCATCAATGACCTCCAGGAAAGAGCACATTTTGTAGGGAATAAAGAAGAGTTAAGTCAGGGAATACAGTTAGCCCAGTCTGTGCCCTGTTCCATCTTTCAATCTGGGCTTTCTGAGAGAAACGGGCTGCTAGGCTCAGTTCTTTTATTGTCAGTATGCCTCAGACAAGGTCAGCCTTGCAAGCTGATTGCATCCCACCTTGCCTTCTGGCTTTGCAACCACTCTGAGCAGAAGCACCCTGTGATAATGTTGTCTTTTACGAGTTCTTCTGTCTTGACAATCTCATTTCAGACAAGAGTATCGCCCATGGACTGGAGCAAAACCATCCAAGCCTATAAAGTCAAAACAAGGTTTCATTATCCCAGAAGACCATTTTGTTCAAGAGACAAGCTACAAGGCAGACTTTAAGGTAATTAGCAGTTTTTAAAAATCCTAAAGTCAATGTGAATAATGCCCAAAGTGCACATCAGGAACTCCTCATATTTGATTGCTGCGGTGCATGTAGGATAAAGCCACATCCTCATGGGACAACTGTTTTGTCACTGCCCATTAGGCAATGTGGCCATCCCTTGCCTTCAAAAAGGCATGCTAGATAATGTCATACTGTAACTGATCATATTTCAACCCAAGACAAAGATTTTAAACTGGAAGGAAGTTCAAGATCTACAATTCCCTCAATGACACACACCTTATGTACAAGGTGTGTGTCATCAGCTCTCTGTGTGTAAGGTGCCATTAACACCTCCTGCACTGACTTGGAGCAGTCAGTGGGGACTAGCACTGGGGTTGCAGAGTGAGATTTGTCCTCTGGGCACAGGTGTTTACCTGGGAATCCTTGCAGATCACTGCCTAAGGAACAGCACCTGCCCAGACAGCACAAAACTCCCCCTTGCTGGTGTGGGCAGAAGGTGCCCAGACTGTGAATGCCAGGGAGGACATGGCTGTGATGAACACACAAGCTGCACACCTCTGAGACTTCCTTGGGATTTTCCTATGAGATTCTACAATTTTTTTCTGTGAGTTTCTCTATACCAGCAGAGATAATTTTATTGCTGTGAAATACAGGTGCTGTTGAAAATCCCATGAAGAAACATTCTGTGCTCAGCATTTTCCCTGGCAGGGCCCCCCACACTCCCCATCCCCAGAAGAAAGGAAAGTGCACACTGACAAGGCTCTGTTTTAGCTGCTTTTTGCATTAGACCACCAAAGAGAACAGCACCTCCCAGTCAACCACAGGAATTGCTCACAGCCTGCACTGAATGACTCAGAATGCAGGGCTAGGGCTGGGGCTGAACTCCCCAGCCACAATGTGCTCTGCCAGTAGAGGTAACAGCAACTACTCCAGGGCCACATGTGAAAAGTAAATCTTTGCCTTGGAGGAGACAAGGAAGAAGTGTTTAATCAGCAGACAGTCAAGTGCCTCCTCCGCAGAGGATTGCTGGCACACTGCTGCGATGAGGCTCACGATGGGTATAGCCAGCTCTGCTGAAAGTGGGACAGTGACCTCAGGCAAAACAGAATTTGCAAACCTCACCAAAATTTCCTCCTTGTTCTGAATAGTCTGGGCTGTTTACGGAGGTGCAGTGATGAGGGTAGACCTTGCATTTAACCCTTTAACCTTGTATTTGACCCTTGTTAATTTAATTTTGCATTTTGACCCTAAGGAGTAAAAATATGGTGTTTTCCAATTTGTCAGATAGGATGCAAAGAAGGGGGTCCTAGATAAATCCCTGAAGGTCCCTATTCCAGTTCTTGAGGAAAGAGGAGACTAGAATTCTGACACAAACACATGCTACCAAGGCCACAGCACTCTGAACGTCCTGGAGCCCCAGGGCACCATCACAGTCTCTCTAACAGACATCATGGCAAAGGTGTAGTCAGGAATGAAGATGCTGCCAAGATGCCACCAGTCCAAAGAGAAGTCAGATTCTCCCTGGTTCACATCTGGCCATTAGGATTTTCCTTCTCACCCGAAGCCCCTGACTTTGCCAGATGTGGAAATCAGATTTATGGTATGTCCTGACAGCCTACCTGTAGGACTCAGGCTGCTGGTTCTCCCCAGCCACTGAGCTGTGCATATGTTGTTTGTGATATCACACTTGTTCCTTAGTGTCAGATGCAGCCCCAGAGGAATGGAAAAATCAGAACAATGAAACAACATCAGCCAGAGATCAATAGCTTTCCCTGTACTCTTTGCCTATAGTTTTGCACTTCTTTCTCTGCTTGGATGGTGCCATCAGCATACCCAGCAGAGCTTTCAACCCTTTCATGTTTTATGGCCAGATTCACCCCGAGTCCTGGGCTGGATGCACAGTCAGTCCTATATAAAATAATTTGAGTTTTCAGCATTAGGGATGACAGAAGCATCCAGGTGTCCTTCATGCTTCAGTACAACTACAGAGGCTATATATTGCATGAAATTCTGATTCCACAGACATCAGAGAAAGTGACCATTGTTATCTCTGCCTTTCCTCCAGGCGTGAGAAGTTTACATCCTTATCCAAGTCCTTGCAGTTAAACAGCCTGGCATGTCCAGTAACCAGTTTGTCTCCTTTGGGTCCTCCAGGTCTGCACCTCTATTCACAGCAGACATGGACTGTGGCCCCATAAAGCATTACAATGGAACATTTTTATGGAGCCTGGATGGCATTCTCCAAAAGCTTAAGGACCAGACACACACCACTCTAATTCCTCTCACTTAAATCCAGCACCCATCCAGCAGTGAATTTGTTGTGATGCTTGTAGAGTGTTTGCAAACATCCCACCTGCCCTTGAATCACCCTGTACAGCAAGACCAATCTCACTGATGCCCAGCCACGGGGTAACACTTGGGTAGTGGTTACAGGGAGAGCAGATAGATCCTCACAACACCCCAGGCCCCTCAAACTCTCTTTGACAGCTGAATCCTGTGTCACACTAATGCTTTTCTCCCTTCCTCCCCCACTAGATCCCAGAGGTGAAGACCAGGTTCTCCCCCAACCCTTCTGCTGTTTTCCAGGCGCCATCACGGATCCTCAACGTGTGAACCTGGACCCTCCTCACACCCAGGCAGCTTAAACGTGGAGTTTCTGTTAAGATGTATCACTATGCAATTTTCATGAGGAGTGTTAAGATCAAAGACCCGGTGTTATCAAAAGCAGCTCCAGTGATTAATGATATGCACACACACTTTCTGTTAACACGACAAACCGCAAAGCGCTTGGTTCAGAACTGGCAGAGCACGCTGCAAGGAGTGACCCAGTTTTTCACAGGAGCAGGTTCATTACTATGCCAGCTGACGTCACATTAGGAGATTGACTTTGGGCAGCAAAGGCAGGATTGCAGGCAACATCCCTCCTCAGAAATACACAGGGTAGGAGGGAAAACACTCGCAAGCAGGATGGATAATTAAAACCCAAACCAGTTTTATTTAGCAACACCCTCTAAGTAGGCCACCGAAAGACAGGGAGTAGTCTGGCTGAATGCTGAGCTTTTTGGGGGGGTTTTGGGAGTAGGACCTCAGATGGCATTGCCAGAAAGCACAGCATCAAAGGGGCTGGTCTGAACTTCCAAAGTTGTTTTAGAAGCTGGAGGAAGCCAGTGTCACTGAACTCTAAAATAAATCTGGCACATGCAGTGTCTTGGGCCTTTAAGGCTGGCAAGCTGGGTATTTCCAAAATTGGAGAGCTGATGCAGGAGCAAGGGAGGACTGAACCCCAGGAGATAGCCCTGACAGCAGTGCACCAGACTGGTGGGGAGAGGAGTGCATGGATACATCCAGGCACCCACCAGACTCCTCCAGAGGATCTAAGAAACTTATGTAACTTGTATAGCTGTTAGGGTGACTGTAAATATTGTACATGGATTTTACCTAAAGCAATTTGTGATCCTTTAATCAAAAGGATATGCTTATACTTTTAATAAATGTTAACTCTTTGCATATGCAAGGTGGAAAATATTGCCTTGAAATTCCTAAATTATCGCCTGTACATTGGTAATGCTAATGCTAGGAACAACCACAAGCGAATGTTACTTAGATATTCTTCTTAAAGAGAAATGTAATGTAGAATGTAAGCCATCTGTCATTTTTAAGATAGGCTGTTTCAAGTGTCATTGTTCTGAAGCTGATTTTTTTAGACTGCTGTGCATTTAACTTTTGCTGAGGTACATGTGTTTCAAGAAACCATTTTTTTAGCCTTTGTTCATAGAGACTTTACAATTTCTATTTCGATAACATGCAATGATTAGTCTACTGCTTATTTAATGGATTTACTAATTATTTTGGAAAAATAAATTGGAAAACTTTTAATTTGCGTTTGCAACACATGTGTTGTCCAGAACAAGGGAAACTATCCTCAGACTTGAACAGTGATCAGATATTCATTAATCTGTAATAAAACAGACTTTTACACAGAAGGATTTTTTCTTAACCTTCTTACTAGCTGAAGTCTAAGACAAATTCAATGAACTTTGGGGATTCTGCTAAAACGTATGCATTGCTGATAATTCCCATAAGAACAATTTTTGAGCTGTTGGCATGTGAATTGTACTTGCAGTACATGCAGACAGCATCTTCTCACAGTATTATGTGAGAATTTAATGGTGCCATCCCTGTTCTCTATAGGGGGACCGAATACAAAGCACCTGCAGGAAGCTGCATGTGGCTGGGACAAGGGATGGCTCTTCCCACACTCATCCTTGGAGAAACCTGCAGAAATCCCAGTGCTTGCCAAAATAATTTTTCAGGAAATTCATTTGAAGCATTCAAACTGTGCTAAAAGAAGTTTTGCATGTTAGATGTTTCCAAGAATTCAATCTGCTTGTTTAATCTCTTTATAATGTTTTTAATAGTTTTGTTCAAACAATTTAAGTTCATTTCAATCCTGGACTTTATTAACAGCAAGGGAAAAAAAAGTAAAAAAGGAAATTGTCTATTATCTCTTCTTATTTGACTGTATTTCTTAAAAAAATGACCCAGGTTTAAACAAATTGGTAATATAATAAGCTTGTATTTTATCAAATGGACTGGATTTAATTTAATAAATTAAAATGTATTTTGGCTATTGGTTCTCTCGCGTATTTTTGTTGTTATGGTTGTAAAATACAACCCTCAGGTATTCAACCTTGCAGTACAATTTGTCACTGCATGATAGCAGGGCACACTGGACACCAAGCAAGGCATTGGGAATGCATTCAGAGCCATCAGTGTCAACTCCTTACTCCTGGAGCTTTCCCCCAGGCACAGCCCCCAGCAAGGACAGCTTGAAGGCACACTCAGAGCTGTGGCCCAGCTGCATTCCCTATGAAATGCAGAGGTTTGACACACTTTGATGTAGATGCCATGCTCTGAAGATCCCTTTCTGCAGTACCCACACTGTGCCCTGTTAAGTTTCACCTCAGTTTCACTCTGCCTTCTCACATAAATTACAGGAAAAGGTGATAGCATTGAATGTTAGAAGAGACCACTGCTTTACAGTTATTCCCAAGAACATTTCAGTCAGTAGAAGTGCTGAAGATACAACCAGGTTCCCTAGACAGTGCAATAGCTCTTCTAGCTATGCCTCAAAAGACTTTCAGGAGAAAGCCAAAGGCTCCCAAGCTGCTGCTCAATGTACACATGAGTAATGAAGAGAAGGAAAAGTGAGCAGGCACTTACCACTGTAAGGTCCAGGGTGATGCCACTGGCTGTCAATGTCTGCAACTTACCTGATTTTGTACGAAAAATGCCTGCCTCAACCAAACTGAAAGGTATCACATCAAATTCCTCTGAAGAAGTCAAGTCTACACGACTTTTTCAGGCTCCAGGGAGTTGTGATGCCAGAATTGCTTCCAACACTGCTCTCACACTATTATTTGTCTTCCCAGTTGCTCTGGGCCCATGTCCAAGTCCCTCAAGGATTTTTGATTGTGAATCATACTGCAAGTAAGGGTTATTTGACACATAAAGAAATGTCCTTTAAAAAGGAAGGGTTTACACCTGTAACTTTAGAATTTATTACCTCTAGGGTGACACTGAACCTGCTTGTTTTGTTCAGTCCTGCTGACACCTGGCCTGTTGGGTTGCTGAAGGTGAGTTTTGTGGCAGGGAGCAGCGAATATCCACACGGCCACATGCTCAGTGTAAGCTTTGGTGAGGGAAATACACCATCACTCAGGAGAGTTGTTGTGAACTTGCACAAGCAGCACATTACTGATTTGCTTGCTTTCATAAACGGCACATTTCTCTCTCCATTGCACCAATTTCTTTGAGTGAACAATCAGATACAAACCTATCACCTCTGCCTTAGTCACACCCATTTCCTCTGTCTTGGCCACTGCGGTAATGCCTGATCCTCAGGACCAACCTGGTTTGCCACAGAGGCATTGCTGGTGCCGTGCAGCCCAGAAAGGCTGTGTTTACTTCCAGGGCAGGAGGCACTTGTGTGGCATTAGCACTAACACTGAGCTCTGCAGCATTTCCAAAAACAACGGCGCGTTAGTCTGTTCACAGACACCCACGGCTCCTCCCCACAGGGCAGGGAGGACACAGAAGTTTGGTAACTTTGCTTACTCTTTCAGTGTCTGTCCGTGTCAAGCGCCGGTGTCCAGCGCTGGCAGGGGGTGGTGGGGAGGGAGCTGTGTGTGGGGTCTCTGTGAGGGGGTCTCTGAGGCAAAGGAGCTGTGGAGGAGTCTCTGAGGGGAGGGAGCTGTGTGAGGGTCTCTGTGAGGGGAATCTCTATGAGGGGGTCCCCATGAGGGGGTCTCTGAGGGGAGGGAGCTGTGTGTGGGGTCTCTGTGAGGGGGTCTCTGAGGCAAAGGAGCTGTGGAGGAGTCTCTGAGGGGAGGGAGCTGTGTGAGGGTCTCTGTGAGGGGAATCTGTGAGGGGGTCTCTGAGGCAAAGGAGCTGTGGAGGAGTCTCTGAGGGGAGGGAGCTGTGTGAGGGTCTCTGTGAGGGGAATCTGTGAGGGGGTCTCTGAGGCAAAGGAGCTGTGGAGGAGTCTCTGAGGGGAGGGAGCTGTGTGAGGGTCTCTGTGAGGGGAATCTGTGAGGGGGTCTCTGAGGCAAAGGAGCTGTGGAGGAGTCTCTGAGGGGAGGGAGCTGTGTGAGGGTCTCTGTGAGGGGAATCTGTGAGGGGGTCTCTGAGGCAAAGGAGCTGTGGAGGAGTCTCTGAGGGGAGGGAGCTGTGGTGGGGGGTCTCTGTGAGGGGATCTGAGGGGAAGAAGCTGTGAAGGGGTCTCTTTGAGGGGGGGTCTCTGAAAGGAGGGAGCAGTGAGGGGATCTCTGAGGGGAGGGAGCTGTGGTGGGGGGTCTCTGTGAGGGGATCTGAGGGGAAGAAGCTGTGAAGGGGTCTCTTTGAGGGGGGGTCTCTGAAAGGAGGGAGCAGTGAGGGGATCTCTGAGGGGAGGGAGCTGTGGTGGGGGGTCTCTGAGGGGAATCTCTGTGAGGGGGTCTCTGTGCGGGGAGGGGCTGCCCCGTGTCGGACACCGCCAGTTCCCGCCAGCCTTGGGCACCTGAGGGCGCCGAAACCATCGGAGGAGCCGTGGCCGGCCTGAGGGAGGGAGCAGGCAACAGCTAGCGCTGAAGGACTGAAGACACCAGAAAAGAAAGCGGAGGGGGAAAGCATTCTGGATTTTTTTTACTTTTTTCCTGTTTTTTTGGGGGGTGGGGGAGTTGGCGTTTTGGTTTGGTTTTTTTTTTGTTTTTTTTTTTTTCCTGTCTTTGCCTCTCACCATTCATTTTCTATTTGGCAGCAAGTTCAACTACTTTTCCCCAAGTAGAGCCTGTTTTGCCTATGGCAGTAACCAGTACTCAACATCCCTGTTTTATCTACTGACTTCATCAATCTGCCCAGGGCAGTGGTGGCATCCCCATCTGTGGTGGCATTTAAAATACTCATAGCTGTGGCACTTGTGGACACGGTTAACCGTGGGATGGGAAGCCACTGTTGGACTTGGTGACCTTCGAGGTGTTCTCCAAACTTAGTGATTCTGCGGCACATTATCCTGACCCACAGAAGACATGTTACTTTCTCCTGAGTTCTGAAGGGGAGTGAGGGCGGCAGGGTGGGCAGCTGGGCCAAGCTCAACCCACCTTACTTTTCAAAAGTCTTCCACACAAACCAATGATTTGCTATTTAAACAGGCTCCTCTGAAAGATGAAAGATTGGAGGAGCTCAGCTCCTGGCTTCCCCTCTCCCAGCTTCCAAAACCAGGAGCTTTTTAAAATAACTAGAAAAGGGGAAAATTACCTTTTTCTTCAGATCAATTCCTCTGAATAAAAATCCAGAACTAACTACAACATTCTGAATACATAGAGCACAAAAATACCTGTGGATCTGGAGAAACTCTGAGTGACAAGTGACAGTCAAGGCAATCCTAGCACAGCTAATAAAAGAATTTATTGTAAACATACGTATATTACACAATTATACAGTATAATACAGATAACATGAAGGATTTAAACACTCAGCATTACAAATAGGGGCAATATTTGTAAAGAGATCTTTAACTCTTCAGAAAGCCAGAGAAATATACTGTAACATTTCAACACATCGCACCTGTAGCATTCCACAAATACCTGAAGGGATGTGTGAAATTCCACAACCTTTATCTTATCTCCAAGCAATGCCCACAGGAACTTCTCACCAACAAATTTTTCTCCCACCACTATTCAAAATGCAAAGAAATTGCTGCAAACATTTCCTACATCTGAAGAACTAAACAAATGTGTCATTTTCTATCTGCTTTTAACAGTTTATTTTTCTTCAGCAAACTTCATATACTAATAATATAGCATCTCCTAGGAGAATAACCTGTGGTTGCTCAGAAATGTAGCAATAGATCTCCACTACAAGAACCCCATTAAGAACGAGAGGTTCTGTACCTGCCTGCTTGAGGGCCAGGTTCAGGACTTTTTCTGAAACTCCATTCCTCACAGAAAAGCAGGACACAGGCAAAGAAGCCACAATTTGCAAACAGATGCCCAAAGATGAGCTCCTGCATCCTCAAAAGCTGCTCTGGGTGTTATCAGAATCCCAGAAACAAAGCCTGCAAGAGGCAGGGGCTGGAAATGCATGTGTACAGAATCACAGAACAGGCTGAGTCGGAAGGGACCCACAAGGATCACCGAGTCCAACTCCTGGCCCTGCACAGGTCACCCCAGGTCACACCACGTGTCTGAGAGCGTTGTCCAAACGCTTCTTGCACTCAGACAGGTTTGGTGCTGTGCCCATTGCCCTGGGGAGCCTGTTCCAGTACCCAACCACCCTCTGGGTGAAGAATCTTTTCCTGATATTCAACCTAAACCTCCCCTAACTCAGCTTCATGCCATTCCCTCAGGTCCTGTCCAGGTGACAGGAGACTGGCACCTTGGGAGGATGCTGAAGACCACAATGAGGTCTCTGCTCAATCTCCTCCAGGCTGAGCAGACCAAGTGCCCTCAGCTGCTTCTCCCACAGCTTCCCCATCCTTGTGGCCCTCCTTTGGATGCTCTCCAATAGCTTCATGTCTTTTTTTATATTGTGGCACCCAAACCTGCACACAGTACTTGAGGTCATTGCAGATCACAGCACGTCTGAGTTTGCCCACAAGGCTGCTCCCACAAAACCTGCAGGCTGTCGTGATAGTGACAGGGATTCTGAAAATGCCCTTCTCTTTCATGAAGGGTACAGGGTGGCATGAAAGCAGTACAGACCCCAAGTTCACTACAGCCTACAAAGCAGGGGCCTGCAGTTCCCCAGCTACCTGGATTCCTCCCAAATCAACACTGAGCTGAAACATAATCACTGCTGCTCAACTCCATCACACTGACCTCTGCTGATAAAGTGATGTCAGGGCTAAGCTGTGCCCTTTCCTTTCACAGGCAATCCTGTACTCAGCTCACCCGAGCAAGCCAGGATTAGCTTTTGAATCCAGAGCATCTGTAATGTCCTTCCTAGGGGGCATTTAAGGCCATCCCTAAATGCTGTTTGGATTTCATCCATTGGTCCCATTTCCTAGATTCAGGGGTCAGGGTCTGCCACTGTTTTAGTCCACAGAACCGCAGCTCCCTGTTAGCTATGATGAACTGAGAGGGGCTTTCCTGCAGACC